TGAAGTTAGATGACATGGCTGTTGTTACGTGACAGTTGAAAAAGCTATAACATACTATTAGTTTATATGAAGTTTCCCTGGCTTCCACAACTGTCCCATTCATTTATGTGGAAGATGCATATCCACAGGCCCGTGTGTGTGTGTGTGTGTGTGTGTGTGTGTGTGTGTTTCTGTGTGTAGATATGGCTGAGTTTTCTGGTCTCCTGAGGCTCTGCATTAAGGCAATAACCATTTTCCATAGCCTAAGACATTCATAGTCAAAAGAGATTCATAATCCACATTGGCTGGGAGAATTCCTGCTTCTAATATTAATTCTCTTCCTTAATTTTCATCAAACTATTTCAGTAGTTATACCATCACTGGGCGGGGAGAGAGAATGTTAGTATGGAACTGGAAAAGGGCAGCATTGCAAACAAAACCCATCATTAGAAAATGATTAGGAGTCACAGAAGCATGAAGAGTATTCTATAGAGGCAACTTCCAAAAGCACAGGCAATATCAAATAGGAAACACAATGACTACTGTCCTCTTTCCCTATGGACCATTAACTCAACTTCAAGAAAACAGGTTAATATTATCAAGGGAGAGGCTTGTTCAAACAAGAAACTGTTTCTTTATTTCCAGGAATAGTGACAAATCCTGGCGGGAAGTAGGCATATGTTTTTTGCTCCCCATCAGTCAAACATCTAGAGAATGAAATAATTTATAGGTACTGCACATATATGCCTAGCTGGATGACAAAAATCTGCATGAGGACAGAGGCGTTCCTTGATGGACATTTTGTAGGAAGGGTATATGCTGGTGCATGAACATTCAACCATGGTGTAGAAAGCAGGTGAATGCACATCCAACAATGAAGGAATACAAAATAGTAATAATTAGCACCTTTAGTGCTTTGGCGTAGTCAAAGTTTTGCCATGCATTATCTCAGTAATTCCCACAAGAGCCTTGCAAGTTACATAAATATTATTTCAGCCCTATTGAGGTGGTGATGGGGCTGAGGCTCAGAGAACAAAGAACTGAGAACATACGGCCAAAAATAAATTTGATCCAGGTAAGCCTGGTGTGCAGATCAATTTCTCAACCGTTATACCATGTTAGCTCTCTGTAGGGCAGTTGTGAAAAACTTGTGGCCCTCCAAATGTTACTGGATGTCAATTACAGGTGTTCCAAAAATTCATGCTTTGTTGGCTCAGAATATGAACTTTGGAAATATGATTGTTATGCTCCACAAGTTCTTCTCCGGATCCAAATGTCATAGGCAGGTTTAGGGGAACACGACCTGTTTGGTCACACTGGGTGCGGAGCCTCAGGGGCACCACAACTACGATTGCTTCATTCCTATCATAGTCAAAGCAGTGATTCTTCAACATCAACTTTGTTGGACTGGTCATGTTGTTCGGATGCCTGATTATCATCTTCCAAAGCAACTACTCTATTCCCAGTTTAAGAATGGCAAGCTTAATGCTGGTGGACAACAAATGAACTTTAAAGATGCTCTCAAGGCAAATCTTTAAAAATGTAGTATAAACATTGACAATTGGGAAACACTAGAGCTCATTAGTTTTGATGAATTTTTAAATGACACAATACAGGGAAAACTGAAGTGAGAGGCTTTAAACTGCCTAATTTCAAGTTTCTGCAGCATCACTAATTATAACGTGTTTGGCATTTAGTATTACCCTGACCGAGGTTTGCAATAAATATTCTTTTTCCCCACTTTAATTTTCTAAAAGGCTTATCAAAAAGTAATTCAAAGCAACATTTGTATTGCAGTAGGCTAGTGAATAAGGACTGGGCAAACGTTTGAAGGGTTTGGCCCCTCAGGTCTCAGACATGCCCAATAAATATGCTCCACTTTTCTGGAGTACAGGACTTAAAGTTCTTTGGGAGAAAGAAACTTAATAGAACTTTGTCCTCTTTACCATTCATAAAGGAAGGCAATAAGCCTTCTGTAATTATACTCCAGGGAGCTGTAAAGAACTTCTTCGAGGCACAGAAGGTCTCTCATTACGTAGCAGGGCCAAAGCACTTCCGATCTTGTTTAAAGATTCAGTCAGTTTCCTCACCTCTTCATTTTGAAAGGCAGACAGAGGGTTCACTCCTCCAAAGGAAAGTATACTCCCTCTATACATATTACACAGTTCTCTTATCCATGCATACTTCAGAAGAAAACAGTCAATTTAAATTAGGGTACAGTCTCCAAAAGCTTCTCTGCACTGTTTTGTAGAAGGTAAAACATTTGGGGAGGGAGGTAAAATTTTCCAAGTTTTTCTCAGAAAACTCACTGCTGATTAATTTCAGCTTTCTTATTACTGATTGATATCTTATTGTTGGTGTTGTTTCAGTGAATATCAGCCATTAAAGCAGCGGTTCTCAACCTGTGGGTCCCCACAAATTGTTGGACTACAACTCCCATCATCCCTGAGCTCTGGCCTTGCTAGCTAGGGGGGACGGGAGTTGTAGTTCAACAATATCTGGGGACCCACAGGTTGAGAAAGGCTGAGTTAAAGGATTCAATGGGCTAAGAAAGGATGCAAAATGTTTTCCAGCAGTTCCCTTTTAGGCACATGCTAATGCTGGGCCAATGTGGACAAAGCAATGAATCTGAATCTCACTTTTGCACAATAGTTTCTACGCACTCACCCCCCATCCTCTACCTAGGGAAACAAGAAGTGGCAGCAGAATTCAAGGACACAAACACTCAAGGAAGGTGCAAAGCAGGGCTGGTGAAGGGTGTGGCTCAGGAGGGTATGTGGAGTGTGTCCTGAGGGCTAGACAAAAACCTGCTCCTTGATCTCAGGAACCATTCTGCAGTGTTTGCTTACAATACATTAAGAGATCTAAAAGTGCAATAGTGAACAGCCAAACAGAAACTTCCTAAAACCTATAGTAAATAGATAAACTTATCCCTTTCTGGTCTCCCTTTTCCCCTTCAGATATTTCCAGATGCTAAGAGCAATTCATCTTTTCTATAGATGTTCCTTCCTTCCTTCACTTATTTTTGACCAGGCAATTATTTCAACCCGCAAACTCTTTCTGCTATGCATCCAGGCACATCTCTTTCTCTCTCTCTCTCTCTCTCTCTCTCTCTCTCTCTCCCCCCGCCCGCTTTTAAAGTTTTCCTCTTCTTTGGAGAGTCTTCTTTAAACATGCCCTTGCCCTGTTCACAGGAAACTTACACACAGCCATTACTTGCCAGGGGGCTGCTGTTGCCTACCTGCAGCCAGGTAGTTTTCTGCTATGTTTTCCATTTCAGCAAAATACAAATAGAGAGAAGAGGGCGGGGGTGACACTTTCTGGACCAGAATTCCTTAGAGCTGAGAGCTGCAGACACAAAAGTTCCTCTTGCCAATGTTTATGTGCCTCAGAATGGCCCCAAACTGCCTGGACCTGGCGGCCTGGGGATTCTGCTTACCACACAGAAATCTGAGACCAGCAGCCATTTCACAAACAATGAGTCCCTAACTAGGAACATATGCTCAGCAGGCCACTATTTGAGGGATTATGCACAGCCGAGGTGAGAGACGATGACAGTGGGTGTTTTGTTTCCATAGAAGATTAGGCCGATTTTGCCTCTTCAGGGTGTCTGTGTGTTTTCTTCCCGCTACTCATGCCATTCACCTAGGATAAACTTTCCATTTACTGGCAGTTATCTGTCTGCAGATGCACAGTTATGAAAAGGCCCAGTGTAAACTGAGGCACAGATTATTATTTCCCCAGTAAAAAACAAACAAAAAACATCTGTTTGCCAGTCTGTTTGCCCCATTCCTGCAGGAAGTATACCAAAAGCATTCCTTAAAATAACATGATAGCAACCAATAGGATAGCCACCTTCCTCACTGCCATAATATGTGCATTGCAGACATAAAACAACAGTTCACAATCATTCTGGTGCCTCCTCTGAACCCTAATATAGGACCCCTTTCCACTTCTCAACTGTGCCATCCTGTGACTTGGTTGAAAAATAAGTTCAGAATGGTTCAACTCTCCCATTTCTCTTGGGAGACTCTTCTAAAATCTAATAGACTTTGCCATTAGGACATTCTCCTGTTATAATTCAGCACACATTTTTCTTTCGCTTGCCTCCCTGGGCTGGGATAATGTAGTAATTTGATTGGTCTCTCGCCTGTGGGCATATTGTGTCATCTGTTTTTAAATAGAACTCTCGCTGACTCCCCCCCCTTTCCAAAAACCCTGTGGGATTGATGGCATAATATGCCCTATTTTTATTAGCAGATTATAATGGGATGGATGGAAAGTTGATGACCTCATCTGCCACTACTTGGCAGCCATTTGGGTTTGACCGAGTTCACTTACATTTGCTAATATTTTAGGGGGGAAATGCTGATGAGTTGTGTAATTAACTTGCGTAGTTATTAGGAGTGAAATTAGTAACTGGGGTTTTTTTCCTTCCATTTTTCACTTGCACAATGTTGGTGTTTCCTGCCATATGAAAGAATAAAATATTGGCATAATCAAGGCACAATTAAGTACTTTGAAAGTCATGTTGATTCCAATGGGAACAACATAAGCATGTGGGTAATTCGTCAACTGAAATCAATGGGACATGTTTTAAATGCTTGAAGTTCACTAGATCATGCCAATAACGTACTTTTTCCTCAATGGAGAACTAGACATGACTTCAGTGAACCGTAACTTAAGTTTCAGGAGTTAGTTACACTTTGTTTCCATTGAAACCAATAGGTCTGAAGTCAAGGCATTGTTGATTTTTCCCATTGATTTCATTTGGAGTTCAGCTAACTTACTCAGGTTCCAAGCTTTTGTCTTTTCAAGGCAGGTCATTTGGAACTGGGATTGTGGTTTCAAGTAGAAAAGCAGTAGTTGTAGGTGAAATGGGGTTCAGAAGTTACACAAGCCATCCGCACAGCCACTCCCCTCCTTTCTGGGCTCTGAGAAGATCATAGATAATAGAATTGTAGAGCTGGCAGGGATCGCAAGGGTTATCTAGTCCAACCCCCTGCAATGCAGGAATCTTTTGCCCAACATGAGGCTCAAATCCATGACCCTGAGATGAAGAGTATCATGCTCTACCAAATGAGCTCTCAGATGGCCATGATGATGATGATTTCTCTCCTGGGAGTGACACAGTGGCTTGGGCACAAGCAGGCTTTGCGCTGCCCCAAACGGTCCGCCCACCACCTCCCCCTCAGCTGTAGGGCGGCTGAGTGGGAGGAGGTAGGCAGACTCCTCGGAGGCCCTGGCTGGCCCTGCCCCTGGGCACAGGGCACAGGGCACAGGGCACGTGTGGCACCCCAGGTGCCTGATCTGCTTGCTATGCCGCTTATCAGAGATGCTTCCATGAGGAAGGGACACAACTGGATACCAGCCAACATTTTTGATAGCCATTATATACTCTCTCTCTGTGTGTGTGTGTGTGTGTGTGTGTGTGTGTATGTGTGTGTAGTTGATGAAGAAAATTGTGGTTTCAGTGGAAGGTTTCAGTTTTATTACGTTTGTACTTCAGAGATGAAATTCAATGAAAACCTTAGGCTTAAGTGATAGAAGAAGTTTGGAGAAGAAATCAGAGTCAGATAGGAAATAGGGGCCTATTTTTAGTGCCTCGGATCAAAACTCCAGATGCAAGTACCCTCAAAGATTGAAGAATTACAAAGGCAGAATTGGCTGTTCAAGGTCATTGCCAATAATAATAATAATAATGAGTAATTGAACCATCTGCTTTCTTTGCCCATAATCTTTCAGGACAAATTGTTTACCATCTTACAGACATTTTATCTTCCTTTCAAAGGAAATGAGTCACGTTCTTCTAGAATTTCTTGTAGCATTGAGGAATTTTCATAGATCTGGGTGAATTGAAAGTGGGAAGGGTGGGGAAATACATGAATATTCATTTCAGTAGGAATGTGAATGTGGACTCAGCTGTGTTGCAGGCCATCATATGCTTATTTTCAAGGAACGCCTTTTGCTTCTGTGAATACGGTTTAGACCTTTATAAAGATCACATTTTATGACCCCCTTTGCACATGCGATGCAATCTCATTTATGTGAACAGCATTCAGGTGGTCATTCAGAGCACTTGAAGAATTAGATATTCGGATACAATAAAATGTGTTTTATGTGGGGCCACAGTGATATGGAACTCTCTTGGGGAGATGCAATGAATTTCAGCATTTTTGTCTTACAATGTATTTTTGTTCCAGAATCATAGAATTGTAGAGTTGGAAGGGACCCAAGGGTCATCTAGTCCAACCCCTTCTAATGCAGGAATTCAAATTTTCTAATGTGTTTAAAGGCACCTATAGAAAAGCATCCAGAAAACAACAAAAACAAGGTAGTGCCCTGCAGATTTTGCTGGACTCCAACCATAGCCAAGGTTGGGAAAATGTAGGTCTGCATGATTTTGACATCCCCCACCTTGGCTAAAGCCATATTTTACAACACTGCCATGGACATCTTTAGATTTTAAGTTAAGGTTACCAGATTTTTTCCCAATGAATCCAGGGACACTTTTCAACTTCCTACTAAACAAATGGATTTTGTCAGGGGACTGATTTGTAAATCCAGGGACTGTCCCCAGGAAATGGCTACATCCGGTAACCTTATTTTAAAGTGGCTGATGATCACATCCAAAATCCCCACAAATTTTTATTTATTGCCATTTAGGGTGATACTTTTCATCTCGCTGTGTGAATAAGGAAGTGCACCATCAGAGGGAATCCCTGCTACAAAATAGCCACTAGCTTACAGCATTCAGGAAATGCAGCTAAGGGCAGCATTGTTGCTACAAGCAATCACAATGCATTTTTAAAAGGGTGGTGGTGGTGGAAAGCCACCATTTCTAGCTGCTTATTATTATTATTATTATTATTATTATTATTATTTATTAAATTTGTATACCACCCTTCTGCTGAAGATCTCAGGGCAGTTCGCAGTATAAAAATACAAAACAAGAACACACAATAAGAACAAGAACAAAACAAACCGATAACTGCCTACCTCCCACAAACACATTTAAAAGAACATAGAATATTAATCAGCCCATTGCCCCAGTGAAGCATCTCAGACTGATAGCACATTTGAGAACTGTGAATGCCATCCTCTTTTATTTATTTATTTATTTATTATTATTATTATTATTATTATTATTATTATTATTATTTTGGCTCTTAGGCAGGTCCTGTTTTCGGGGAGATGCTTACATAATTTCTTCTTCCTCCCAAATAGCTTCAGGCTCCTGCCTGGTTTGCAGTCTTCTCTGCTCTGCAGGTGATGAGGACAGATATGAAAATAAACTAGGGAGGGATGTCTGGATCTGACATCTCTTTGAGGTCTCTGATGTCACAGAAATCTACTGGGAAGGGGGTCCTGTTGCCTGTGCTCCTCCCCCCTCCCCAAAGACTCTGTAAAATCCACATGCCCCATCTTTTCCCCCTCACCAAATTGTTCACCTGATTCATATTTGCTCCAAGCAGTTCCAAAAGTTTAGATTGTCAATTGTGTCAACGGTTGCTGAGGAGCACAAATAGATAAGCACAATTATGCTCTGTCTTTCTACATGCTGCATATTGGCTAGAACCATCCGCAACTTTGCCCTGATTCCATCACTGGTTTCAGTCCAAAAATCTGTCTCATCCTCATCTGAGAATCTTCCACCATAGCCTACTTGAGACTTGCCCATATAAGGGAAATCTGATGCCGACCTATAATTATTCAGATCAGCTGAGTCCAAAGCAAGCTTTTAAAAGAGTAACCAGTCAGATAACATCTTCCTCTCACCCAGAAGGAAACAGTTCTTATTCACTCTGGCTGCCAAGAATATATTTGACACATACTGGGCAGATAAGCATTGATGAATTCTTAGGTGTAACTCAATTAAGCCCCATTACATTTGAGATCTTCACTTCTCTGTTTGGAAGAAAAAGCACCTATCTGTGCTATTTAACTGCTAACTATTGGTGACATCCTCAGGTGGTTGGCAAAGAAGAACAGGCTGCTGTACCTAGGTGCTTTCTTCTATTCCTCTTGAGCCTCCTCCCGCTGCATCGCCCCCAAGACTCACCCACTGTCTTTGCTGGGTAGGCCTCTCACTTGCCTGCTGAGCTGTGGGGCCTTCCTCTGTATTGTGCTGCATTGACTGAAAGGTTCTTTCAGGTAAAGCTTGCAGGAGTTCTAACAGCAGAGGCACTCTTAATAAACCCGAATCAAAGGGTCACTTCAAAGGCCTTGTAGCATCCGTTTCACAGGGGAATAAAGCAGCTGAAAAGTAACTCGCAGAGAAAAATGGGGAAGCAAAAGTGGGTAGAAAAGGCTTAGTGAGAAAGGGAAAGCTGTTCTCTTATCTTCTCCACAGTAGCCTCTTCGGTGAATACACCTGAACAAGGAAATGTACAGAAAATAATTCTGTCAGTCAGTGTACAAGGGAACCTGCTGTCTCACGGCAAACCTGAACTAGCATACTACACACAGGTCCCCCCCCCCCATTTTTCTGGTACCCCAGGGGCTTAACAACTTGTCATTTTACATTTCAGGCTAGGTGCAAACTCTGAACAGACAGATATGGTGATGCTGCCACATGTTTTTATTGAAGAAAGGCTATGAGCCCCATGCGCGTCACAACTGAATTCAGACTTTTGAGAGAGCCAGTTATGGTCACATAAGCTGAACTTGGATTCAAGTCATTCATCTGCTGTGGGCATGCTGTATTTTCTAAGGCGGTGGTTCCCAAACCTTCCCCCCCCCCCAGACCACTTGAATATTGCTGAGGACCTTGGCTGAGCACTTCATGACTTTCCTCCCTGTTGCAGCAGTTGTAGTGTACTGTGATAGATGCTGCATGCTTTTTAATTGCATGTTGATTGATTGTTTTATTTCTTATACATTGTATTTTCTTGTATCACCACATGGATTTTGTCAGATTCAAATTGTAATTCAATATAGCACCATGAAAAAAGAAATAAAACTAGGGCCACACCATACATTTAAAGTGCTATGATACCAGCTCAGTCATGGCTTCTCCCAAAGAATTCTGGGAGCTGTAGTTTCTTAGGGTTGCTGAGAGTTGTTAGGAACCCATGTTCCCCTCACAGAGCTGCAATTCTCAGAGTGGTTTGATATGGGGCAGAAAACAGAACAGGGTAATTTAGAAATCATGTACATTCTACTTAATGCATTTATCCTGCCATAGACCTAAAAAAGGTATCATTGCACAATATATATTTTGAGTCCTCCTACCAAAGCTGTGGCTTGGTGGCATGGGTTTGTAGTTTTTCTAGTCCTACTTAGAGGACAGGACAGTTGTTTATTCTCTTTATTGGATTATGAGTTTCCATAGGGTTCCATATTACCCATTAATCTACATGAAATTTCTGGGAGAATTTATTCAGAGATTTGAAGTGTGGAGCCAGTAGTATGAAGATGACAACCAAACGCTATCTCTTCTTTCCATCAGATACCATATTCCAGGAAGCAGTGGAGGTTGTCTATTGGTTCTGGAGTTGTGGCTGGACTGTATGCTGACTAACTAAATTAATTAATTCATTCAAGACAGGTGGTTTTTGTCAGTGGGAAAGCTGATCTGGGATTGGTTATACAGCCTACCTTGGATGGCTTAGCCAGGTTCACAGTTTGGGAACTGCCTAGAATTTGAGACTAGTCCAGGTTCCAGTTTCATGCCTAGATGATCGGGAGGTAGTTTTTGCCAGAGGCACATTTGCACAGCTTTGGCAGCCTTTCCTGGAGAAGGCGCATTGGCCATTGTCACACATTCCCTGGTCACATGCCATGGATATTATCCCAATGCACTGCTCATGGAGACGCCTTTGAAAAGTATAAGACAACCTATAAAATGCTGCAGCCAGCTTTTTGGGGGGAATGTCACCCTGAATATGTTTGATCTACATCAAATCAATTAACAAATAAACAAAGCCAGAATGTATTGCTTCAAGCCTGTCAGACTGCAGGACAGCAATGATTACACTTGCCCAGCTTTTGCTAGCCAGTTTCCCTCCAGGTGCTATGAACTACTACTCCCATCAGAACCAGCCAACATGCCTGGGTCTGATGGGAATTGTGCTCCAACATGCAATGGTACCTTG